GGGGGGGGGGGGGAGTGACGAATAGAGAGGCAGGTCCAGACCTCATAAGCTCCACTGGAAAACTCACGGCCATTAATCTGATTAATGTGTACACCAACAGTTTCCCTGCAGCCAGACTCGGTCTATATGCTTGTACGTATCGAGCACATGGAGGCCGGCGCGAGCATTAGCCTCTAAGCTCCTCTGCTACAGTACGTCTGCATTCCAGCAGGGTTTGTGACAGTATGTGGCTACACATCAGGGCCTGGAGGCTTCAAACATCTATAAACAGAAGCGTTTTTTGATTCTTTTCTTTTTTGCTCCAGCTGCTGTTATTCTGCCAACAGCTGGCTTTATAACAGAGCCCTGAGAAACAGCTGTGTACCAGAGCACTGCTGTGCCTCTTTCCAAAATGAGAGACTCCCCTGTTTAAAGAAAGAAAATGATAACCACGCTCACAACGATGATTGCTGCTGGCAAAAATAAAGCACATTATGGGTTACTCTGAAAGCCACCATCGAGCTTTGTTTTGACGAACAACTATCTGTAACTTCAAAAAATCGCAACTGAGGAAGATTGGGGACTAAAATCCATCTTAAAAAGTCTGTAATGTAGTGTATGGGAACCATTCACCTCTTGGATGAGCTTGCCCACAAGCTGTTTTATTAGCCTTGTTTCCACGTTACAACCTACCGCTGTGTGTGGCTGTTAGCTGTAGCTGAAGCTGCACTAAAATGCCAACAGGACTTGATTCTCACTGCTCTTCCCGCCCCCGGTGGCGCCACAACTGTCAACTTAGCACACACATGCTGAGTGAAGAGTGAAGACTGTAAGGAGTGGTGGAAGACAGACTGTTCTAGCATTACCACAGCGCAGAAACACTCTATTACAAGTAAAAGTCATTTAGGCATTTCAAATGTAAGTAAAACAACAAAGGTATTAGCATTAGGACTGTCATGATAACTAATAACAATGAAACAACCACAACCACATGACCTCACATCATCACGTCAGGTTCAGTATTTGTTTTTTAACACATGAAAGTGTCCCGGACCGACGAGGCGAGGATGGAGAGACTCTACACAGCAGAAGCGCGGTCTGAAACGCAGTACTACCCAGAATCCCTAAATTCACAGCCCTGGACAACAATACTGTTCCACATAGGAGAAAGTCTAGTAGCCTCCGTCTCACTGGCTCTGGAAAAACTGGAAACATCAGCTGTTTCCTTTTTTTTTCCTAATTATCTCAATTCACCACAGCTGTGACTGCGACTCGCCAGTGTTTCGGTTTAACGAATCGGCTAAAAGTCACCAGTTAACAGGGTCACTGGTTAAACTGGTGAGTCTAAGAGGGAGAGAGCAGGTGATTAATACAAGCAGGTACGGAGATTAAACATTGTCCCGCTGTCCCCCAGTAAAGGTACACTGTTACTTACACAACTGACTATAAGAATGTAAGAACAAAGAAGTCGTCACAGCCAGCAGCTTTAAATCTTATACCAGCAACATGCTTTAGACTACAATGGGGGGCGTTCTGTGCCAGACTATTTCCAATCTTTATGCTAAGCTAAGCTAACTGCAGCTTCATAATACCGCAGAGACATGAAAGAGGTATCCATCTTCTTGTCTAACTCTCAGCAAGAAAGGAAATACACTTGTCAAACTGTACCTTTAAATTGAGGTTTATGCCCAACTGAAGTATTTGGAAAATGTTATCCAACCGGGTTCAACAGCTTGTAAAAAAAGGTGCATTACATTTTAATTTTAGGGGTTCAAGATTTGCATTTTTACACTAAACCTGTCAGAAACAACTTGAGGTGAGAATGGGAAGTTGCACCTTTTGCACCAATGGAGGGATAAATAACTTGTTTTCATTCATATCATGTAAAACTAAACTGTGACGGTATCATCTGATACTTTCAGTTTGTTGAACGGTATCTAGGCAGATCTACAGGTGAGTCACGGTGGGAGTAGATATAAAATACACATATCACCAAAACCTGTTCTACTTGGAATTTCACGGAAGTAAAGTCAGAAATGTGAAGGCTGCAGAACAATCACACAGCATACCGATTATAAAGACAGAATCGTTCGTCACAGTCCAACTGGTTGAGAGACAATGTCTTCATGTTTGTTTGACCTTTACGCCTTTATGCATTGAGGCTTTCGACACGGCAGTTTGCTCATGAACCCAGAATTTTGGTACGTACTGCCAGCATGCAACAGTTTCACTTTGCTCATTGTGATCTGGCTTAAAAGACATCTGCTTGAGACAGATGTCATTGGAAGAAAAGGCTGGAAGAGTAGGTGGTTGACTCTTCCTCACTCAGACAACATGAACCCATCCTACATCTGAACTGGACAAAACTAGACAACCCAAGGAGTCGCTGCTTCTGCTTCTGATTTCCAAACTGGAAAAAAAAACTGCAGTTATTCTGAAAACATCAAATCTTCCAAGACTATAGATAAATGTGAGCATGTGCGCTGGAAGCAGTAGTGCTGAGATGCAGCACCACCTAAAATCTGGCATAATAAGAACCATTAGTTCATAAAAATGTTTAAACTTATGACTTCTTTTTTTTCCTGGGATTTACATCTATACAGTGGTATGTATGGCAGGAAAGAGGTTTTGCCTTGTTTTCTTATCAGTTTTATCCACTAAAAAGTAATAAAATTGGTACAAAATGCTAAAACCATGACCTCATTATACAGGCAGACTTTCTCTCAGAACCCCCGACTCTGACTTGACTTCCAGCGTCCCTGAATGTGAGGTAAGAAATAGGTAGTGCTTTATTTTACATGGAGTTTGATGTTGTTTTGATAGGCAGTGAGCCTTGTAATGACATTGGAAATCCTCTCTTACCTCATTGGTCTGATACAAATCTAATCATGCTCAATTTCAAAGTATGTTTTTGGACTTAAGGGATATCATCTGGCTTCACGAGGCTACAAAAAGATTACAAATCAAGATACTGAGGGGATTATATCTAACTGCCAGGCAGAAATCACAGTGCAGAAGCCACTGTAGAGCGTGTTAAATGTTACAGTACTGTTATTAGATGACAGGAGAACAATGAGCATGATTAAGAACAGTAAATATACAACAGAAACGACACAAACACACCACATGTTGCACAGGACCAACACAATGAAGGCACTGTTGGAGGAGCAGAGCCCAGAGTGACAGCAGAACTTACCTTATCAGAGACGAAAATAGAGATGGACAGATGTCCAACAGAAGACAGCCTTTGTCTCCTCGGGCCTGAGAGACAGAGAGGGACAGACGGAGAGAAGAAGATCCCTCAGGAGCAGAAGCAACAGCAAAGGGGAAACACAGAGAGGTTTGTTAGCCAGCGGTGAAGCATGCGGTTAGATCCCCCTGCAGACCAACAGACTGGGCTGGACGAGCCGCCCGTTATATGGCTCGGTGGTGGCTGGAAGGTGGCACATTCTGGGAGCTGTGGTGAAATGCCACACATGGAGCCTGTAGTGGAGGGCTAATGAAACAGCCAGAGACCAGCGGCCCCCACAAGAGGAGGTCAACAGTTAGTTCACACCTCTAAAATTACCTGCCTGGGCAATGAGTTGGGAAGGGAGTGTCAGGTTTTAAAAAGAAAGTGATTATTATGCATGAGCCGATTTACTACAAACTACTTCTGATCGTGGTATCGTTTGTAGAGACTCGAAACATAATAATATAGGTGATCTATTGCAGTAAACCTCAAGTCTGCTTTTATTGTGGAGTTTTGTTCCACATTAGTACGGAAGACTGCAAGATAAAAAGCTAAAAAATGTTTCCTTTTAACACATTTACCATTTAATTAAGGCACAGTTAATGTATACATTAAAAAAGAAATACGTGTAACAATTCATATTTCATTTATTGTTTTATTTAGCCATTTAAAGCTTCCACTTACTACATTTCTGCACAGTGATGAGGTAAAATTAACACATTACACTGCGATGAATCACCCACCACAAGTGTCAAGTCTCTGCGAGTTCATGGTATTTAAAAGGAAGTCAAAGTCAATATCTGCTTGGAAGATAGGGATGGGAAAAAATAGTTTAAGTCTGTACTTTTTGTAGTAAATGCGACTGTAACATACTATAACTTTCCCTTTAAACTGGTCTTTTTCATAGCTAATGAACCCAAATCAACATTAACTCTGGAATGCAACAGGGAAGTAAAGCAGATTACATGAAAAAGGTGTATTCTTTCCTCTTTTGTCTAAAACTTCTGTTTTTTTTTAATCTCAGATGTTGCTGTCTAAAATTTACAACAGTCATGATGATTCAAAATCATATTGTGAAAAATATAAAACATCTGCCATCTTATGAAAATAAACTTTGGGATGAGGATAGAAACACACCATCATATAGATTTATATTTAAAACT